TCAAACTACAAGCTCTCAGGTTTCATAGAGAGCAAGTTATATTCAGACCATTCAGATAGATTGTAACAATGTACTTCAAATTAAAAGAAAACTTTGGAATGATAGGTATTTTGAATTTTTAAATTAAAATGGTGTATAAACAGATATATACTATTGAATTATTAAATTTTCATTAGAACATATTTATACAGATTAATAAAATTTACATTTTGTCTTCTACAGTCTGTCTTCCAATTATGATAAGACATGACGTTACCTTCATTCAGAAACACTTTAATCTATATACTTAATATAATGTTTACACTATTTTGTAAGATAGAAGATAATATTCTAGCTAATATGGTGCAAAGCGATTTTTTTAAATAATAAACAGATTAATACATTTTCGTGTTTAATTATTATTAAAATGATTGATATATTTCTTCATCTGATTTCAAAATAAGCAAAATGTATAAAAAAACTTATTTTTTGATTGATTGTATAGAATTTTAATAAAAATTACATGACAAATAATGAGATATTGTTTATTTGTATCTTTCCATTGTTATTTAGAACTGCAACTGATCGGTTTCTTGTTGGCATATATGAATCTTGTGCGGACTGCATCGACATTTCCTTAGGTCACAAGCTTTATGAGCAAAGATAGATAGTGGTTAGTAGTGGAATTCAGGACGCGCGTTTAGTCCCATGTTGAACTCGTCAGCTGGATGTAACTGCATCTCAAAGCTGATGTTCACTCTGGGACTTGAACCCAGTACTTCTGCACAAGCAGGCGGATATCAGGACTCAGTAGATAACGCGTTAGTGTTTGAAAAGAACGGTACTCGGCTCGAGTCCCAGGCTGAACATCAACTCGGATGCAAGTACATCCAGCTGATGAGTCCCAGAAAGGACGAAACGCGCGTCCTAGATTCCACTGTTGGCTAATATCCAACTTTCCTCAAAATGAGAGATACTGTTTTCTTTTTCATTATTTTTGTAATTTATCATGTTTAATTTTAAGAATTAAGAGAAAAAAAAACAATGAATGAGTAAATTGGTATCATTAAATTAAGTTATATGATTCTATAGTAAATTGTTTATTTGTTTCAATGATTTTAAACTCTTAATGCTGAATTATTTAATCAAGTATTAAGTATCTGTTTAGTTTATTTCATCATATAACATAATGGTATGATTAACTTTAATATAGAATGAATATGATTCTATGACCTAATAGAATACATAAATATGTAAATTATAATTGAAATGAGTATAAATAATTCATTTTATTAATTTTTTTATTTACCCAGATCTTTTGAGTTAATTATGGTTTAAGCAACAAAAGTACATGTTCGCATTTCTGAGCATGTTCCAAAGAAATTGAGGCTGCGAGGAACTAGGGTTCTCAACAGTGCAATAGCTCGGCATCTACTTGACACCGGGCATACCATTGACATCCCTCGTGCTTTTAAAGTTATTAGCATACAAAGAAGTACGGCTTCTCTCCGATTTGCCGAAGCGATCGAAATAAAAACACTCAAACCGGACCTGTGTATTCAAAAACAGACAGTAATAAACTTGTTACTACCCTGGTAATCCATTTTTATTCTTTTATTTCTATTTTTTGGTTACTAGTTTTATTTATCTATTAATTTTTGGTTTATTTGTTTTATTTCGTTAATGCCTAGTTTGTGTTATATTCCTCTTAACTACCCTTTCATTCACACATTTCCGTTCACTTGATTCTCTTAAATTATGTGAACTCTCCAAATTTCTTTTCGAATATTGCGTAACCCATCTCACCAGTTTTTTTAAATTCCATTAATACTTCATTACCTCTAAAATTATCGTACGACTTATCTGTCTCTGAATTCCACTCAACTATTACCCCACCAATCCTTAATTCTAACACCAGATAACCTCTGACCTGTTCTTGCATATATATATATATATAGTTCGATAACCTTTGTCATTTCAATCCTTTACATTCATTTATGTCAATCGTTCCATATTATTTCTTATCTCAATGTAAAATTCTAATACATATTTGGTTGGCAGCTGACGAGAAACCACGAAATATAACGAATTCATATTATTCTGCATAAATGTTTGTTTTGGCTTTATTTAAATTCATAAAGGGAACTAATTGCATGAAACAAAAAATATATCTAAACTTAATATATCACATATTAAACAGTAAAGTTTGAATATAATTACTAGGTTAAATCATTTGTATGAAGTGATAAGAAAAACGTTTCCTGGAAAAGGTTCAAAATAGAAATTGGTTCAGTGGTTATTTTTAATTTATTTTTCATTTTTTCCTTATTATTATTATTATTATTATTATTCTATCATTAACCTTATTTGCACATCCATTATTTGTTTGGAATTATCCGCCTCTTTCCATTAGTATTCTTCACTATCTAATTATTTGCACAATTCTTATTACGAAATGATTTCAATGTTTTGTGATGACTACTCCATTTACCCATGTTTGACCTACTATTTCCAATATTAAACTATTGATAAAACTTATGTTATCGTATTTTATTATTCTTACTACTATCAGTACACCTGTCTTCCTACTATCAACTTGTACTTTTATCTATTATGTGTGGTGACTTATTCTATTTCATTGTGATTACTGACCCAAATTACCTTGATTGGTTTAACATTTTCGTATAAATATTACTGTATATTAGAGTAAAGCCTGATGATGATCTAATTGAAAACAATTGTTCTCTTATATATGTTGTTCTAATTTTCACAATGGGATTCTTTAATATTCAGTGGTTTCTGTTTATCAGTGAGTTTTTTTCTGTGTGGTTTAGATTATTTCAGTTAATGACTGAAAACATTGTTTTAAATGAGAAGTCTTTAAAAAAAACCAATCATTGAACTGTAATATTTGAACAACAACAAAGAAATAGTTGACTTCAACTTCTACAAATATAAATGCAGTTTGGGCGAGACTATAATTTATGGAAGAACCAATCAGATATAGGATAACAAGTAATACATTATAGCGCCATATTCATTCATACACTTGGCTTAATAGAGTTTTGGTATTATAGCTGATGTCAGTTCGTGATGAAAACTCTAAATCTATTTTTTAACCTTAACCATCAACCGTAAATCATAATTCTAACTGCTTTATAATCCTCATTTAGTCCTAATCAGTAGGTATCCACCCTCAAGGTCACGTCGGCGTCGCTCAAAGGTCGTCCATAAATTATAGTCTCACCGCAGTTTGTATTGATTCAATAGTTTCAATGTAAAAGTTGACGAAAAATAAATTTATTTTACAGAAATGTCAAATTATTGATTTAATGCGATCAGTAGCTATCTTCTAATTAAATTAAATATTTAAATAATTCGATAAGACTCGATCTGTTTTATTTTTCCGAATTCAAGAGATTTTCCATACAGATAGTTATAAAAAACAGATGTGATTTGATATTGAATACAATTAATTTAATTCAATGCCAAATAAACTGATATATTCGATCATTGAATTAATTTATTATAATTTAGTCATAACTAACTTTTCGTCAGTTTTATATAAAGCATCCAGTATCTTAAATATTTGTTTATTCATGTGAAACTAATCGGATAATTTATCTAAAAGAATATTGGAAAGTATTTTAACAATTGATTAGTTCATTTATATCCAAAAAGTACTGATCAAGCATAACCATCGGTTCATTAAATATAGAGAAATAAAGATTATTGGTCGATTGCTTTTTTGATTAAACTACTCTTAGATTGAATGATAATTGCATTTCCCATATTTAAATAAGTATTTACAACTGTATATAAATAAATGGAATGAACTTGATGTCGACTGCTTACCAGACAGTGATTAATCTTTAGACAAACTCCTGATCAATTCAAGGGTCGGAGTATTATAGAGTATTATAGATCAATACAACTACCTAAATACGAATATTATTAACTAAGAAATCGATGAGACTATAATATATGAACGAACCAATCAGGATTGAGACAGTAGGTGTTGAATTTTGGCACGAAATTCAATTATAAATATGATTAAATAACATTTTGGCATTATAGTTGATATCAGTTTGTGTTGAAAACCCTAACTATAATTCCTAACTCTAACGTACAACTATAAGTCCTAATCATAATTTGATCAACAGAGCACTAAAGAAAATACTAGATAAATTTAATATGGTGACCTCTAGTGAAATACGGACTATAGCATATATTCATTCAAAGTACTATTATTTCAATTATATACAAATACCTAAACTAATACATGTTTTCATTAGGATGAATAAAATTTGGTGATATTTTTAATAGGTTAATTAATCTAGACGAAATTGGTGAATAGTTATTTTAGAACAACATATATAAGCGAACAATATTGTTTTTGATTAGATCCTCATCAGGCTTTACTCTTATATACAGTAATATTTATTTGGATATACGAAATTATTAAGCTAATCAAGGCAGTTTCTGAGTCAATGATAACAATGAAATTGATTACAGAATAAGTGAAAAGTACAAATTGATAGTGTGATGACAGGTTTACTAGTTTTGATAAGAATAATAAAGGCCCAAATCAATGTTATCAAAACTAGTAAACCTGTCATCACACTATCTATTTGTACTTTTCACTTATTCTGTAATCGATTTCATTGTTATCACTGACTCAGAAACTGCCTTGATTAGCTTAATAATTTCGTATATCCAAATAAATATTACTGTATATAAGAGTAAAGCCTGATGAGGATCTAATCAAAAACAATATTGTTCGCTTATATATGTTCTAAATTTACAATATGGGAATATTTCAAATGGTTATTTTGCCTAAATAATAAAAATCACTTTAATATAATTATAGACAGTTAAAAGTAATTACTAGAACAATCATAATAGACATTTATATATTCTATAAATTATTTAATCTCATAATACAATTAAAACAGAATTAATCAATCTAAAGATTAAAAAAAGTACTTCATTTATCAATATTTACGATTAGTTAATTTTACCTTTTTAAAAATTTCATATTTTCTTGTTGTTTATGTATACATGTAGACATCATAATTTGTTGAAATACACGTCGATCTAATGTCCATGCTGAAGCATTGGTGACAGCTAATATTTGAAGAAAGTTAAATTAAACATTAAAAAAAGGTTTTGTATTATCTCTCAAGATGATAACTAAGCATGATTAAGTTTTATTCACAAATTCATAATACAAGACATATTTTGTATATATATATATATATATATATATATATATATATATATATATATATATATATATATATATATATATATATATATATACTTTGATATACATGTATTTAGACTTTCAGTACACTGTTTGTGTACTCCACTAATAGAAGTGGATGGAAGAATGACTTAATGATTGAAATAAACGAATTTCAATCATTTGATTGAGTTCGGAGAAACCTTCTTCTGCAATGTGCAATACCTATGGGAACAGGTATAAGTCGTATGTATCTGGAATCGCAAGTGGGATTCTCACTGATAGACGAGAAAAATTGAGAGGAGAAAGAAAAACAAGGAGTGGTCGAAGTAACAACAGGAATAGAAGAATGATAAAATTTGTAACAGACAGCTCAAAGAAAATGTGCAAATAGTGTGTTTAATGTATTTTTTCCATATTTTACAAATTCAGTATGTAGTTTTTCATAATACAATTGTTTTTCCCTGTGTGAGTTTTCGTTCGTTACACCTCTATCTACTTCAATTTGAGTAGCTGGGTATATCTAGCTGTGATAACTGAATATGTTAATCTCTGAATTGTTAAAAAAGTACAAAATACATTTTAGTGGCCCACGAATATCCGACTCCAATTGGTTCGCGTGATTATCGCTATCGACTTATACATAACGTCAGTCCTCGTATATAATCATCGACTTAACTCGCGTTAGTGATTAGTGGAATTAAATAAGTCAAATACGAGAATAGGTTTTAAACACGTATATTTCATGCAATCGTTGATCCAGACAGACGATCAGAGAAACGGAATGACATGCAATGAAGGAGGTATATGAACCAAGTCACTTTAATTAAGCGTTATCCAATATTTATTATCATATCAAATCAAAGCGAAGAGAGGCAAAGGGCTAAGAGAGGCGAAGTGAATAATTAACAAGACTAAAGTGTGACTCAAGAAGAATGAATAAATTGACCTGTCCGGAAGCTAGAATAAGCTATGTGTGCCCAACATAGGGCTAGCCACTATAACATTATTATTTCATGAAATATGATCAACTAATCCTAAAAACCAGATGTAAACCACTCTATAATTTCATACTTTGATAATTTAATAAACAAATGTTTAATTTATACTGAATAATATATTGCTATAAACTACAAATTCATTTCCACTATCTAGTGAAATTGGAAATCTGATTATAGAATTATGGAATTTTTCAAACTTCTCACCATTTATTCACATATGTACATTAAGTCACTAAATGTCAAAGTACAATTTTTCTACTCATTGGATTATAACAAAAATATTTTTTCACACTTCAGTAGAAAAAGGTTAAATGATTATTATAACCGGGAGAGCTGGTCATTGAATAGGGAGAAACTATCATATTTTATTTAATCCTAACAACATTAATTCATAGGGTAATAGATCCATAACTAAATGAATAAAGTGTAATTTATTTATAACTAAGTATTACGTGAATTAATTGTCCTTTTGACACTTATAAAATCGTTGAGAAGACAATTAAACAGACGGTGATAATTACGAAAGAAAAGATGCATAAAATTTAAAAAGGAAAATAATTGTATATCCTGGTGAAATAACTTTTTTAAAAAATGTTTAGTAACGATATTGTATCAATAGAAATCCATTTTTTGGATATACATTGAAATCTAACATAAGAAACATTAAATTTATATTAATTAACTCTATGATTATCAGTTTATCATGGAACTTGAAATGTCTTATGTTTGATTCTATGTTATCTCTTCTATATAGGTTGAAGATAAGTTATAACTTAAAACAAATCAATCTTTTAGTGCTTTCTTGTTTTATAAGGATGTTTTTACTTAAAATTATCAAAATACTCTAAAAATTTCAGAAATATGTTGCTTAGTTTTTAACGAAGTGTAAATGAAAGCATTAATGATAGATGATCATACTATTGTCAAGTTATAGTAGATATTAGTAAACAGAAATCAAGATCAATTGATAGTCAGAATAGCAGTATAGAAGTATTTTTGTTTATCACTATGTTATACCCACCTCGAACAGATGCAGTTCGTTTACAGTTATAAAGTAGTGCTAATTCACCAAAAGCTCGACCCACTTCCATTCGTCCAAGTAATGTATTATCTTTGTATACTTCCAATATTCCATCTAATGACAAAAATATGGAGAAAGAAAAGATGAGGAAAATGAAATAAATTTATATGGATATTTGTCAAGATTTAAACGAAAAATTTGATAGAATATGAGCGTCTAATATGTAGACGATAATTAATTCTATGTAAAAAATTATATTTAAAATAATTTATGAGGTTGAAATTTAAATAATTCCAACTCTTCTCACAACAAACTGCTCTGAGATTCTTCAAGGAAAAAATATTTAGCATACTAATGTGTTATTAACGAACATTCAAGGTTCAGGGAAGTAGTTGGTGATTTTATTCGTTGCCTATAAAACCTTATATCTGCTAATGTGGAATTTTCCCGTTTTGATATTTATACAGTGTCGCATCTAGTTTGAAACACTTTATAAACACTAATTTAATAATTGCCATTGTGTCATATTATGGAACAGGTCAAACATATAGGGATCAAGGTCACAGTATAACAAGAAAATAAGTTGAACATCACTTTCCATGGTAGATTAAAGAACATATGAACGATTAAAAATTATATCCTTACATATTTTGTCGATTATGTATATCATAATACTGTGTAATCAGCTTTTATATGTATCTATGACATAGCATCTACATTACTCGGTGTTTGAAGATTTCGAGAAATCTATACGAATCCATATGAATAAATTTAACTTACTTGTACACATTATGTTTGTAAGGCGCTTTCCTTTCGCTCGACTATCAATCTATATAAACACATTCCAAAGTTGAACTTAAGATAACCCTCTTAAAAAGCTGAAGATTTATATTCTTTATTCTCGTATTTAAGTAATGAATAGTAGGGATTGATGAAATAACTAGCTTATTCATCCGCTTTACGCAATTTCCTTCAGTTTAAATACTCTTACTATATGATGATTTTTTAGATATGCACATATTTATCTGGCCCCTCAACAACACATTTCTTATCCTTTAAAAGAGTTATTGTGTATTCTTATGGACAAAATTGCTCATTCATTTGTTGAAATTAGTTATCACAAGATAAATCACTTTGAATAATTTCTTCTGTAGCCCGGAGAAAAATGTAGTTGTGCAAACGTATCCAGGTTAGTCTCATGAATGACTGACTGCTTTATTGATCGTTTTCTTAATGATGGTTGATTTCGACGCTTTGATAATTTGGAATCGATATGAATCTCATTATTTTCAGAGTTACTTATATTATCCTTGATGAATATGGATTTAATCAAATGAGATATATACTGTATAAGTGAGGATTTCACCATTTAAATTTAATTCAGAGATCTATAATTTAAAACAGATTTCAATTTAAAACTGCTGATCTACTGAATCAGTACATCTTTATGAACAGTCATCGAAATTGAAGTAAAGAGTTTGACAGAAATGCGATATCTATTACAAAAAGCATGTAATACTTTTCAAAAATGTTCGTATGTCACTTATGCATAAAGGTGGGAAATGAATTTGACTAGGGCAATAACAATGAATTTAGGAGAATAACGTGAACTCATTTTAAGCAGAGATGGATGGTGGCAAGCAACATAAATCAGGACGCGCATTTTGTCCAATTTGGGAATCTTCAGCTGGATGTATCCGTACTCCGGGACTCAAATCCAGTGTGGTGGTCGCTGTTCGATATATACCTTAAACTCCGTATACAGTTCGTCTCGGTAACCGTCACTAAATAACGCTCCAACGGTATATTAATCAGAAGGCGAATACGAAGTGTTAGTTACGTTTATTATAGGACCACACACAGATATCCAAAATTACAGATGCGTTAAGCAAGCATGAAATAGTTGTGCCGAAAGGCAAACAGGCAAGCGAGCGGGCGAGAGAGAGCAAGGGCAAGAGCGAGCGATCGAGCGAGCGAGTGATGAATATGAATAATATGGACATATATATACATAGTGAAATGAATGAATCATCGAATCAATTAAGCGGTTAATAGTAAAGCTACTAGCGTGAATAGATGCGTAGGCAGTAAAGTTTGCCGAGCATACATATTCATACAAGGATAACAATAATAAAGGTACATACAATCGCAACAGTAATAAGGATACAATAAGTTATTATAGTGCAGGTGACTTTTTCCGTTTGATAAGTTAATAAAAGGGCTTAACCGAATTAGGTGAGAGCAAACTCAATTGAACGTGAGTTGCTATACCAGTTCTGTTCTCACTAAATGCCATCGCGTTATCCACTTGTCTATTGTATTGTTTGTTTGAATCTTCCCATTGATCTTTAGGACTGCAATTGATTACTCTCTTACTGGCATATGTGCATACTGTGAGGATTGCTTCGATATCGCCTTAAGTCGCAAGCATTATGAGCAAAGATTGACGATGACTAACAGTGGAGTACGGGACGTGCGTTTCGTACCTGCTAGCCATCGTCCATCTCTGCTTATAATGCTTGTGGATTGAGTTAATATCGAAGTAATACGCACAGTATGCATATATGCCAATAAATGACTGATTAATCGCAGTCCTAAACATCAATGGGAGGATTCGGACAACCAATACAAAAATGAATGATCTCGTTTAATTTCACAGTTCCTCATCAAATCCTTATAAGCTAAACATAATAGTGATATTCGTTAAAATCACTTTACGTGATTTATATTATATTATGAAAGTTCCCATCGATGACGACTGATGAGAAGACCAATAAGTATGGAAGAACTTAAATGATCAACATTATCAATGTTTATAAGTTGAATATGTGAATATTCGGAATTATTTAAAATGAGGTAATAATGTTGTAGTTATGTAATCCATGAAACATTAAATATACTGTATAGATTAAATGAGTGAATATCAGATATTAAGTAGGAATTAATAATTAGTGTCATGAAAAGTAAAAATCCATAACAAATATTTATGAATACAGCAAAGCGAGATTGATAGCTGAGTCTTTATGGATGCGCAAATTAGGTTTAAATCTTTTCATGGTAACTGCTTCAGCAAAACGTAGTAAATTCGACATTCTTTGTTTGATGATTATCTTGAAGAAATTTGAGACATAGACACCATGACCACTGTCAAACCAAATGAGTGCAATCGCAACGCTGAAAACGTGTTTTCCTCTTAGTCTTAGCTTCTGTGAAATATGGTCGGAAATGCAGATACTAACCCTTCTTTTTGTTCCTCCGATGCACGTGCTTTGACACGTTCATGTAAGCTGATAGACTTCTAAGTCTGTACTTAGTTAATTTTATTTCATATTTCATGGGTTACATAACTACAACATTATTACCTCATTTTAAATAATTCCGAATATTCACATATTCAACTTATAAACATTGATAATGTTGATCATATAAGTTCTTCCATACTTATTGGTCTTTTCATCAGTCGTCATCGATGGGAACTTTCATAATATAATATAAATCACGTAAAGTGATTTTAACGATTAACACTATTATTTTCATACACATAATTCCCTTTATCTTAAAGAGAGCAATAACGAAGATTGATGCAGAATAATATGAATTTTATTTTATTTCCCTAGGTTCTCATCAGCTGCTTACAACCTATAAAGTCAACGTTATTACATATATTGATACACTCATAAATACAAAGGTGAATAGTGATGTGTGTATCATAATGTAGCGAAGATTCTGATAAAGTTAATAAGGTCATAAAAATTTTGTTTCGGATCAATAAATAAAGTTTGGGAGGGAAAGTTCCAGAACATTGAAATAGTAACTAGAAATCATAAAGTTAATAAACATTAGATGATTGTGTAATGAAGCGACTGAAAACGGATTAATGGCAATAAACAAAGATATGAATTGAAATCAGTCAGTTATTAATTGAAGCAAAATGTCAATGATGTAATCAAACTTCAGAAAGAATTGAAATAATAAATGACGCAATAAATAAATAAATAAAAGGATGTAATGTTACCATGGCGAAGGAAGATTTATTAAGTCTTCCTTTTGGATACATAGATCTGGTTTTAGACGTTTGATCGCTATCGCAAATTTCAGGAGATTGAAGTTTGATTGTTTATGAATCACCTTGAGAAACTTCAGTGTATCGACTTGATGTCCTGTGTGAATGAGATGTCTTGAGATGACATTGCTGAATGTTTTTAATCCACTTAACGTTAGACTTTTCGGAATATGTTTACTTTATAAAGAATTGATGAGAAATCGTGAAATAAACTAAGTCCATGTTATCTAATTTATTACCTAACACCAGAAATTCTCTCTCCTCCTCTGAAGATTATAGAATAGGATAAACTTTAAAGAAATATGTGAGTGTCCAGCAGTAGAATCCTGTACAACTGTATCATGTCATCTCCATCTACCTGGGTCCTAGCATTGATCTTTACACAGACTCAAACTTAATATCTTTCTGTTGTGACTATAAGGTAAATTGTAAAAATCAGTTCAGGACTCACATAAACCAATAACAATTCATTGTGAGTAATGGTGACTATCAACAACTCGACACTACAAAATTCTATTATTATTAATATTATTATTATTATTAAATAAATCATTTTAAAGAATTATGAGTCATTCCAATTAACAAGGAACTATTCATGAAAGTAAAAAGAAATTAGGGAAACGAAACAAAAAAATTGGTAAAACTTTTTCACTATCAATAAAACATTACCTGAAACAACATACAATGCATCGCCTGGTTCACCTTCACGTATAATAAAGCATCCATGAGGTATTTGCTTTTTATACATACAAGCTACAATTTCTTCAATTTGTGATTGTTCTAAATGCTTCAAAAATGTATTGTTACTGATAGCATCTCGAATTAAACTAGAAGACCTGTTTTGAAAAATGATGGGTTTTTCGAGTGAAAAAGACAAAAAGACAGAGAAGTGATAAGTATCATTAGAAGAACATCATTAATGGGGTCAAAAAGTTTGATCTGATTAATGTAAAATATTTTCATTTGGAAATCACTTCAAAAAATCACCTGTAAACATTATTTTTTTTGTTCAACTTCTTAAAAACCATTAATTATACTCAAATTAAATGACAATATCCTATTTCAATAGTTGAAATCACGAGTCAATTGAAGCCAGACCACCATGGGAAACCTGGAAGCTCACTGAAGACAATGGTGGACGGTGGCGCAATTTCGTGGATTGGTGGAAGTTAGACACCAACACCGTTGGATGCCGGTCAGCTTAGTGGTCTAATGGTTAAGCACTCGCGTGCGAGACTGATAGGTCATCGGTTCAAATCTCGCGAGGGGGGGCTGGATCGTGGATGCGCATTGGTGAGGAGTTCCATACTAGGACGAAACGGCCGTCCATTGCTTCCATGTTTTCCATGATGGTCTAGCTTCGACTGACTCATGATTTGAACTATTGAAATTACTAAAACCTCCGCAAAACCCCTTCTGATAATATATTATTTGTTATTATTTCGTATTAGTTATATTTTTACATAAATGCTAAATCTCATAATTGATTATTCAAATTTAACTATGAAAATATAAAATTATCAACTACATGTTCAGTGAAACTTAAAAATATAGGTCTTAATGATAGGATCATGCCTCGATCTCGGCTGCTTTTGTTCTAGTACGCGACTTCTAAGCAGTATGCACTCATGGATATATCACGGGGTATACAATCCAAGATCTTTAACCCCCGATGTGAGCCGTTAACCCTTAGATCATCTAAGTGTGTGCACGTCTAAATTCAATCGATTCGTAATATTGTACAACCACCTTCCATGGCTAGAGATATATAACCGCCTCATATCCGATATTGTTGAACTCCACTAAATTATGAACTAATGGTCTTCGATTATATCAAACCATATAAAAATGTTAACAATGTTTAGATGGAATTTGCTACTTCTTTCCTTTACAACAGAATGACCTACAATATAAATATTTTTATAAAAATTTAAGCATAGATCGACTGAAGGCAGGCATTTCATACTGATTAACGATGTTATTCATATAATTTTTTGTTACCAACTAAGTCTCTACAAAGACATATAACCTGTAAATACTCTTTGAGTGTATCTAACACACTTATCTGGTCAAAATAGTCAAGTATCCTAGGGATATATACAATACCAATTCCTATAATCTTAGGTATCATATAATTTAATGAACCATGCAGAAAAACTGAAGTGTTTTCTTTTATATTAGACTGTAACTACAGAAATCTGTATTTTTCTTTTGAAAAATATGTTTGACAATAATTTACACCTATGCATGATAATTAGTTTAGGGAACTGCATTTTATTAAAATCAAAAAAACAATAAATGTTAATGTTGCGTTCTATTATATAGACTGGTTCTGTTTAAAAGTATCGATCAGTTAAATTTGGGCTCAAGTCATATTAATGAATTCAATATTGTGACATAACAAGTAAACTAGCCAAAACACTACCAAATATTTATGAAATTGAAATCTTACACACAACCACTGATAACAAAGAGATCATCTTATAATTTAACTTATGGTGTATCAGGTTTTAAGAACTTTTAATATCCATGATATATAACCTCGTTATACAAGTTAAAAAGGAAATGGGATCACCTGAAATTTACTAGTTATGTTTTCTATTTTTAAAATTCTTATAAATAATGTAAAACTGATTGTTGTTACCGCCTGTTTATCACGTAGAAAAATGACGAACATTATTCATTTATTAATTCATTTTGTCAATATTGCCTGTCGAAAAGTTATATGCGTTCATCTGTTTAATTTGAATTGAATTCAACAATTTCTTGAATGTGTGACTTATTAATTGGATCTGCATATCAACTGATGAGTCATAAATGAGACAAAACGCGTGTACAATATTCCATTTTTAGCCACAATCCAAATGTACTAAGCAAAATTGTCCCAAGATTATCCGTTGAGGACAGATATCAGCCAATGGAGACTGTTTAATTAAAATCCTTTATATCGGCGACAGGAAACTCGAAGCCCTAAAACATATATTTCTATATGTTACAGAGTTCCGTTAAATATTTATTAATTTCCAATATCATTTAGTTAAATTACTTATTCTTCAACCTTGAACAGAACTTTTATAAAAATATGTTTATAATGGTTCTTTTATTTTAAGTGATATGAATCTTTTCATTTGGCTGCATCATTGGCTGACATTGTTTTTTATACTTAGGTTTTTACTTATTTATTTATTTGAACACAAAAGTGCTGGAACAAAGGGGCATCAAACACAGGATGCTGGAGCCCATGTGCACCATTGGTTTGGAATCAGAGTTTTTCAACTCCCCTAGTTGGATCCTCCATATTCACCAATCCGGTCAAAGCGTCGTACATTCGCTTTTCGTCCTTTCAATTTCGTAAACAACGGTAATGCCATGAGAAGGAAAAGAGCAGGACTTTTCTGTCAGTGGCTGTATACATGTGGCCATGTGAGAGCATTTCGAGCGGGGTGAGCTGACTCTCCCCACCCTCGACTGTACCACTTATGTTACTACTACCATTGTGGTGTGCGGTAGATATAAGTAGTATATGGCAGGAATATGAAGTGGAATGGCTACCAGCAGTTAATTGAAATGAAGAGCACAAGAAAGAAATGGAGAGCAACCAGAATAACAATAGAATTGGAAAAATGATGGAGTGTGTAAAAGGACAGCTCAAGGAAAATGTGCAAATGATGTATTTAATATATGATTTTGATATTTTACAAAGGCACCGTGAGTTTGCATGAAACAACAAATTGGTATGATGCACCTGAGTTTTCATTCGCTATACTATTACTATTGCTCATCCCTTACTTTAGACATTTATTTCCAATCGTTTCTATTGAGATTAAGGTTAAGAGGTTAAGAGTAAGAGGGCAGAGGAAAAACGCTCAAAATGAAACATTTTTTATTATGAAAGTCGAAATTATTCACTCTACAATTTTACTTTGTTACAAGTTATAAATCAATAGCTTTTATATGAAGATAATATATTACTATGTCCCTTCAAATTATTATGCGATATTATAATTATAATATGCTTTTGTGTTTACGGAAAATTAAGTAAGAAATATGTACGGTAAATAACTCTACATTATTCATTTATTCAGATATTTACTTGTGAGCTTTGATAATGATTTATTAAATGTCAATAGAAACTTTTGTCTGTTCCTTTTTTCCACCAGAAAAAACCCGGCCCCATTAGAACTTACTCAAATCTAGTATTATAAAAAAATTAACAAACTGAATGACTAAAGCATAGTTTCATTTGGCGATAAACTAGATATAGTCGTAGAGGCAAAATACAATCAATTAAAATTGCCGGGTATCATTACAACTTTCAATAAAATCTAAATGATGGGTCAGATTATTTATTTTTCAAACAACATATTTTAAAAAATCTGATGGATCATAGATTGAAATCACTGGTGAAGTCACGAGGCCGATTCCCCTTAGAACAATTAATGCAACAATTAATATAGGTACATTGAATGTTCGGACAGTGTGGGAGACGGGGAGGACCAATCAAATAGCTACGGAAATGAGGAAATACAACTTGGCAGTACTCGGAATCAGTGAAACGCATTGGATTCACCAAAGCTGGACAGAAAAAATTAGATTCGGAAGATATGCTGCTGTACACTGGTGACGAAGAAGAAAATGTTCCATACACAAAGGGAGTTGTTCTGATGCTGTCCAAAGAAGCAAGTAACGCACTTATAGGATTGGAATCTCATGGATCCAGGATTACCAAAGCATTACTCAAAACAAAGGAGGGGATTACAATGAATATTATTCAAAGTTATGCACCCACCAGTGATAGCAACGACGACGATAGACAAGTTTTACGAGAACCTGCAGTCGATGTTAGCGAAGTACCCAGGAAAGGACCTGTTAATTGTGACGAGAGATCTAAACGCCAACGTAAGGATGGACAGCACCGGCTATGAATATATCATGTGACAACATAAACTGACTGGAAGAAACGAATGAAAATGAGATATTTGCAAATCTATGTGCATCCAACAAATTGGTTATCGGTGGCACGATATTCCCACACGAACGCATACTCAAAGCTAGGTACATGAATCTCACCGGATCACACCACGGAGAACCAACTAAATCACATTTGTGTCAATAAAAAATTCAGAAGGACAGTAGAAAACTAAGAGAGGAGCCAACAAAGCTTCAGATCACCACCAACTAGTAGTTGCCAAGACGAAACTGAAGCTAATGAAACACTGAACAGCTGGAGAAATAGCAGTACAAACGTTCAATACAACCTTCCTTCGAGATACTGAAAAACTCAACGAATTCAAGATAACTCTCAACAACAGGTTCCAAGCCTTACAGGATCTACTGAAAGAAGAAACTACTATAGAGAATGACTGGAAAGGGATCAAGGAGACATTAACTTCGACGTGTCAGGTGTTGGGTTGCAAGAAGCATCATCATAAGGAATGGATCTCTATCGAAACCCTGCACAAAATTCACTTCTTGTGATTCATAAGAAAAATAACATCAGTGATTTAGAATAAGTGAATAATATATGCAGTTATTTCATAACATTTGTAATATCATATTGCTGACTAAACTATTTATTAATATATCATTCAAGTAAATATGTGAACAATTTATGATATTATAAACCTCGTTTACGTTTCTCTTTACTCATTGTAAAAACAACTTTTATCGAACAAACAATATTTTAGGCAGGTAGTTTGAAATGCTAATTAACATCAACTTTAAAATTACCAGAAGAAAGTCAACTAAGAAAACTATAATATTGTTTTGCTTTGATTTCACACTCTTCATTCAGTAGTACACATATTCAACCATATCTTCATAATACACTTTTTTT